GACGCTTAACCGACTGCGCCACCCAGGCGCCCCAACATTTTAAGAGTCTATACTGTTAGTGTAATTCTAAATTATATAATCATGGAATAATTTATATTACTTCATAATGCCATACATTTTATTTTTCTTTTTCTTATTTTTGATTGATAAAATTCTTTTGTATTCCATGAGCATATTCATACAGCAGAGATGGGTATAAAAGAGGTGAAAAAACATGTAAAATAGCCATGTTTAATTTTCTACGACTAGTTGGCATATACAGTGTCAGAAAACAAAGTCTTACCTCTGGGGGAAAAAGTGATTTTTGTATTGAATTCATGTTATTTTGATGTTACATGTGATGCTGACGTGAGCACTCATGTTATTTTGATGTTATCAAAGCAGTGTCCAAAATAGGAATTCCCAAAATTAGTAAGACTTCATTAATTATAACTTCACTGCTTCACCCATGTAAAAACAAAAATTAAAACAGAAGATTTCAGGGAAACTAGTGACTTCAGAGAGAAGAAATCCTGGCCCGTTGAAAATATTTTTTGTTTACTAACAGTGTAAGTGCAATAGAAGTGAAATACTTGGTACTTTCAATGAGAGTGGGAACATTTGCTAAGCCCTGCTAAGCATTGCCTCTTAATATTTTGATAGACTAAATAAAGTTGCAAGGCTTGGGAAGTTAGCAAAATTGCATTTCTTTCCAAACATTCTACCATTTAATGTGGTTTTATTATTTGCATATCATCCTGTGGGTTGAGCTTGTTTTCTAATAAATGCCAGAAGATTTGACTTTTAAAAAAATTGCAAAGTGTTTTCATTTGTTGAACATTTAAGTAAACAGTACTTTATGGTTTTATTTAAGGTAACTTGACTTTTGTACTATTGCAATATATTTGGAGAGTCACTTTTGTAATAAAAATGTAAATGATATACAGATTTGAAAAAGTATATAAAATTGACAGCGGTGCATGTATGTTCTCATTTTTTTCATCTTCAGGCAAAGTATCATACATAATGATACTATAAAACCAGAAAGTGAAGCTTCAGTTTTTCCTGATCTAGGCACTATTGATAATGTTGTAAGTAAATGATGTATTTTGATTATTACATAAATTGCAAAGCCTTTTAATTTTAGCATGTATATATATATATTTTTTAATTTTTTTAATGTTTATTTTTGAGAGAGACAGAGCGTGAGTGGGGGAGCGGCAGAGAGACAGAGGCATCAAATCCCAAGCAGGCTCCAGGCTCTATCAGCACAGAGCCTGACGTGGGGCTCAAACCCACGAGCCGTGAGATCATGGCCTGAGCCGAAGTTGGACACTTAGCTGACTGAGCCACCCAGGTGCCCCTAGCACCTTAAGAAATTTTGAAAGGAAAGTATTTACTTGATTAAAACCTTGTAGATTGTACGTAAGATTCCTGAGAAGATAAGTTGAAAAGTGTTTGAATGATAGAGTTCTATTCTTAATGTATACCAAGTGATTTTTAAATAAATTATAGTGCACTAAGGAAATATCCCATTACTTGTAGTATTTCTTCTGATTTGATTTTGAAGGCCACTTATGTGAGCCCTTGAAAAGTAAACAGTTCTCGGGCACCTGGGTGGCTCAGTCGGTTGAGCGTCCGACTTCGGCTCAGGTCATGATCTTGGGGTCTGTGAGTTCGAGCCCTGCATCAGGCTCTGTGCTGACGGCTCAGAGCCTGGAGCTTGTTTCAGATTCTGTG